GAATGCCAGGGTTATGTGAATATGTAACAACATGAATATCACCAGTAAGGACATTTATAAATAACAGTATTTTTCTTTGTAAGTTACTCTGAATTTCCAAACCTCTTAAAATATTAACTCAGGACTCCCAAATTCACTAAGGTAAGCACCTAAGGATTGTTTATCTTATTTTTACGGCTGGGGAAACTGAGGCAGAGAGGTTCAGTGACTTACCCAAGGCCACAGAGGGAGTCACTGTCAGAGCCGGGATTAGAGCTCAGGAGATTCTGGCTCCCAGTCCCAAGCTCAGACCACTACACCATGGCCTCAGGACATTTCCAGCTGGTCTTCAGTCTAAAAAAAAGTAAATTCTCAAGTATGTTACAAATATGTAACATAAATATTTCTTTTTACTTTGAATGTAATGGTATGAATGACAACACATTGCTCGTAAATCAGTGATGAAAAACAAACCAGTACATTTTATCTGAGTTGCCTTTATCATACATATGTGTATGATAAAGCTCTGTAGAAAAATATTGATTTAAATTGCAGGCAATACAAACAGCTGTTTTATTTTTCAGGGCAAGGAACAAATTGCCTTTCCATCCCAGCCAGCATGTCATTTATATTAATGGCGAGGAATGCTAAGTTGCTCTGCGTGTAAGTAAACTCTATTAAGAAAGTCACATCCCTTGGTGAAGCTAGATCCTTAGTAAATTTTACTAGCTAAGCACTGAGATCCATGTCAGAGTAATTACACCTTTTATCCACTGTGAGCTCTCTCTTAGCTTCTTCATACTCCTTAATTTCCCACTCCAGCTAATTTAGCAGTGAAATCGCAAAGGTTTTGAAAGGTTAGCTACCGAGGAACTGGCGCATGAATGTTCTGTTAAGCTCCATGCATTGAAATCACATCATGAAGAAGAAGGAATTAATTAAGTAACAATTAGGTGGTGATGGATCATTGACAACATATATACGCTGTGGTGCTAAAATTAATCTCCCCTGTAAATCCAATACATTGTGTATCTTCTCATCTATATGCTGGCAAGTTTTATACTTGAAAAATAAAATGTACAGGCCCTTCAGCAATATCTTTTAAAAAAAAGCGTATCTTCTGGCACTATTGAAACTACATATTATTTTAAAAAATCATATAGCTTCATTTTTTTTTAATGAATTGAAAGAGTGATGAGAATAGCAAAAGGAGAAGAAATTTTTAAGGCAGGTGATTCTAAAGTGACTGTAAGGACATTTTTTATATGAAAGTACTTAGTACGTCGAAAGTGCTAACAATTGTGTGGTACTCTCTTGCTATCTTCTTTTACAAATTGCCATATTGTTTCCTTGTATTGACAGTCAGTTGCTTAATACATAGATTGGCAGTTAGCCCAGTCAATCCTAAATTCTAAAAGCCTCTTAGCAGATGAAAAATCTTTGGTTCATTCACACCTTGTAGAAAGGATGACAGGGCAGAAGTGACATCCAGATCCACTTAGAGTATACTTTGAGTCTGATTTTCCTTTGCCTTGCACCTTGTGTAGTCTTTTATAGCTGTGCAAAGTGAGCACAAAATGGATATAAAACACTGCCACCCATGTGAGGAGAGAATTCCGATTTGTTTGCATTCTTTCCAGAGGTGATCACAAAAAGTGCCAGGCAGTGAAAAAATCTGGCTCTGCATAGAAAATCTAAACAATTTTGACACAAAGTATAAAGTAGCAGCAGCGCTTTCCAAACAATTTGTGGACATTGCAGTTTCGCTTTGGAGCAATGGGTATTTTCATTTGCTGTTTGCTTGGTATTTTCATAGAACTACTAAATGTTAAACTCATTTACAGAAAACGAATCCTATTTCTTCCTTGTTTTGGTAGAAACATATTTAACTGTGAGTCCTAAAGTAATATTCTCACATAAGGAACTCATGCCCTACATAAGATTTCCACTAGTCCTGCCCTTCCACATGCTACTTCTAAACCCAGTACTTAAAAAGCTACACTTCTACACAACCTCCTGGAATCAATGCGAAAGCTGGTATTACCACAACAGCTGGTCTCAGTCCATCAGAGTTCAATACTGTTCTGGCTTTAGTATGGGTGGCAAATCTATGTCTCAGCATTTACCAAACAGTGATATCTCTGCTATATGATCTACTACCACTATGATAACATAAGACCTACTGCCGAGTATCTTCAAGATACAAACTAATACTAGCAGGAAAGGCTTGCAAATGTTAGATTAACAAACGTATGTTAACAAAATTGATAGTTAACAAATTAAGGACCTAATCGGGCTGTTGCTGAAGATGTGGTCAAGAATTACTTCTGCTCAACAGCAGACATTTAGTGTTTAATAATTAATTCAATATGTTTGGACATTTATTTCCCCATACTACCCGGTGACCATTTTTCTGGCCCTTCCCAGCACTTAGATGCCATGATGGGCCTAGCAACTTACGTGTGTTGATTAGGAGCAGAAACAGAAATTACTTGACCGCATCAGCAGCTGCTGACCTAAGAGTACTGCTACAGTAAATGTCTCTTGGTGTTTCTGTTTGTTAGAAAATTTATTTTCTTTTAATCACAGTCACGCACTTCATAGAGTCAACCTAAGACATAATTCTCAAAACTATTACATTGACCAAAGCTTACCCTTCAACCAAGTGGCTAAAGAACAAATGAACATATTATTTAATTTTTAATATTTTAGTAATACTGTAGTAATACTGTATTATAGATTGAGGTTTCTTGGGTTTTTTCTTCTTTTTTTTTTTTTTTTTTTTTTTTTTTTTTTTTTTTTTTTTTTTTTTTTTTTTTTTTTTTTTTTTTTTTTTTTTTTTTTTTTTTTTTTTTTTTTTTTTTTTTTTTTTTTTTTTTTTTTTTTTTTTTTTTTTATTGATTTGTGTTTTTTGGGGTTTTTTTTTTTTTTTTTTTTTTTTTTTTTCTTTTTTCCTCCTTCCCTTTCTGGATTCAGTGCTTCTTTAAGTATTCTGAGTTGCTAGTCTGGCTTGACTGAAAAGTACTGTGTGTTTGTTGTGTGTCTGCATGTGTGATACCAACTGTTGAAGACTGCTTGATGTTAGATGAGGGCTTATGCTCAGAGCTGTTCTACAGTTGGCTCTCTGGCAGAATCTCTCCTCACCAATGACAATGATGTCTCTGTGTGAGGGAGAGTCTGTTTTGTAATATTACATTTGCCATGGCTTTAATTTTACTGATGGGGCATGATTATGATTTCATTTACGTTAATCAAAATCATGAGTCATTCCAATCATGTCAATAGCATTAAAGAACTATAGAGACAAGTAAGAGTTCAGAATCGGGCTTCTGGTGTTTCATCTGAAAGGATACCTGATTCACTTCATTAAAGATAGATACTGAAGGACAGACCCTCTGCTTACTTCGCATTACTCAGTCATGTTATTAGCATAAAACATCAAATAAAGAACTATAATGACATCTGGCAATGTGTCACAGTACATGGGTTTTCTGTTTACCTCCAGAACAGAAAATATCCCTGAATTAACGAGATTTAAGGTAACATTTCAAATATGACAAAGTTACTGTATTAGGTCTCCTTGCCCTTGGAATTTGGCATTAATGTTTCAAAAACTTATTTCCTTCCTTTGTTTTTTTATGTCACTTACATAACTTGAATGCAAAAAGATCTAAAGGCAAATAATATTTAAGTAAGACCTCAGAGACTGAATTAAGTTTTATAACCCTGTCTATAATTGATATTACGTCTGGTAAATACAGGAGCATCAAAACAGTGATCATAATTCATAAAGTTTGCTTTGTAGGTATCTCATAAAGCACTATCAAGTCTTCATTGCTTTTTAAAAAGTGAAAAACATGTTAATTTTCTGAAATATATGCATTTTGAAACAATAAAAGGTTTTGTTCTGGTGTCTGTCTCCTGCTCAGACAGAGAAATTGTGCAGGGGATGATGGGCCTTAACTTAGTCCTCACTGATAAGTACTTTTAAGACTAAATATTCTTGAAATTGCACTTAAATTATACTCAAGCTCCATGTAAATCTAAAATAAGATTATAGGGAGGAAAAATCATTTCAAGAGGTCTCGCAAGCTATCAGAATATTGCTGTATTATATCTCTTCAGAATTTTTCCATTTTTTAAGTCAAAGAATTATTGGCATTTGAGAATATTTTCTAGAAATCTGTTTGATATATTACAGGCCCTAGAAACTACTACTGTCGTCTATACTCTCAGCTTCACTACAAGCACATGCCCCAAGACACAAATCAGAGAGTTGAGGGTTTTATCAACAAACCAGGACCAAAAGGAAGCTGAAAGAAGGGATCTTTCACTATGTTTTCTATAGGTCTTGCTGATTGTCTCACTGAAAACTAAAGATCTATCTGTGCATCTTGCTTTTCCAGTACAGTGGGAATAGCAAAAATAATTTTTCCCCAATTCCCACTGGAAGCTTTCTTTTTGCCCTGCTAGACCATGTGTCCAGTTTTATACCCTACACTTCCTCCACATAAAAAAAATCTTGTACAGTGAAGTAATAAGGTACTCTCTTCAGGCTGAATACAAATGTGAGTTAAACCATTGGTGCCTTCTAAGAAAGCCTTGATACAATCTCCACTCTTAGTAACTGTGGGAATTACACATTTTCCTTGTCTTTGTGATAATATTGCTGTGTATTTTAGTAAGCACATTTGGGCACACAGCTTAATTATACGGCAACAGACTTTACATATCTGTGCCGAAAAACAATTAGAAATCTCACTCTTTGTTTTTCAATAAACTAAAGTGAATGAGAAATTGAAGAAATACAGAAGAGAGAGGTCACCTACCGTGGTTGTCTTTATCCGTCCTCCTGGTTGTGTACAGGTCCAGCCTGATTTATTGATTAGCAAATCACAGCCTTCTCCTTCTAAACATGGAAGCATTTCACACCACTGTTTTGTTTTGATAATTCGTGCTATGGAACAGAAAAGAGGAAAAAAAAAACAATCAAAAACAACTGGCAGGAGAATTCACATTTCACTTATCTCTAAACACTTTCTCATTTGAGTTGTCTATTTTCATCATCTGATAATGCAGCCATAGGTTATGATGTAGACAGCCCTAGGCAATTTACAAAATTATTTACAACACCTGCTGTGCCAACAAATTTCATAATAAAAATAGAACTTAAAAACCAACAATAAACCAAAAGACAGTTCTGTTGTAAATCCAAAGAACATAAAAGTTAGCTAATTTTCTAATTTCATGCTCCATATAGTAATGGAAATATTGTTGGAGGTCTAACAACTGAAGACTTACTATCCTAACTAATCATTATGGTAGCCTAAAAGTGACCTACAGCTGGGATCCATTGTGTTAGACCCTATATAAACCTGAGCAGACACTCCTTAACCTGAAGTGCTTACAGTGTAAATAGACATGAGACACACACTGGAGAGAGAAAAGCTATAATAAACAGAGGGGTCAACATAATGACAGCAATTGTGAAACTTTGTGATACTTGCAATGGTAGGGCCATCGTTAGGGGCAGCAACTACGAACATAAGAAGGACAGGTGTTGAATGAAGTAAAGGTTGGGAAATCATGGGGAAGGAGACAATAAGCAGACGAAAAAGACTGGAACAAATGCCCTATTACTCTATTACTACAAGGGAAAGGAAGTCTAGTCAGGAAGGTCCCTAACTGTCTGAAAGGTGGTGTGTTGTGTGTTTTGCAGCTCCTCTTAAAGCCTGCGTCTCTGCTAAGTTGGTTCTGCAAAATTTCCTCGAGGTCACACATAGCAAGTAGTCTTGGAACAACAGAGCTCTGACTGCAGTAAAGTAGATGCAGAGGAACTGTAGGGAGAAATTCTTCTTCAAGCCAGGGAGAAGAGGGGCTTTAATTCCTGTAGATTTCTTTCTGGATTATAATATTACTTCTTTTGAGTTCACCTCCGTAGTGGTGTCTGGGTTCATTCTCACAGAATATTAAGCAATATGACTAATATATAATATTTATTTATTATTTCACTCTCCTCCTGTAGGCAAAATTGTAGGGTGGAGTGTTAGGACGCTTTTTATAAAACACATATACAGACAGGCACTCACTTGCATCGTGTCAAATACTCATGCTAAACAAGGTAAGGTCCCCCAAACAATCTGTCTTTTGCTCAGACTGTAAGGCTCACAGTCCACAGAGAATGGTACTCAGTTCCTTCAGAGGCCATCTCGGCCATCCTGGGCTAGACTATAAGAAAGCTTCACCACCTCAATTTGTACTTAAGTGTCCTAGGATGCAAGGGCAGAAAAAGTTCCACACACAGGGACACAGATCACATCTTCCTCTATGTTGATGTGTGACACCAGTACATTTAATAGATCTTCAACATGAGCCCAACAAAAAGAGAACTACAGGAGAAATACTTAGCAAGATAAGCATACAAGAAGCTCATGATGTTCCAAATTAATTTTGGGTCCAAGGAGCTTAAAATTGGGCATTTATACCCAGTGGCAGTTGCAGCTCTTTATGCTCACCTGAACGTGCAATTCAGCCTCCCTAGGCCCTTGAGTTCCTCTGTGTGGAACCACTTAAGAATACAATTCCCAATGCCACTGGATCATGGCAAGAAATAGATGTGTAATTTAAAGTCTTTTAATAAAATCCTTTCCAATATTTTGACATGAAACAACTTGTGTCCTCAGTCCCGGTACAATTGTTGGTAAGCTCTAGCAATAGAAAGAACACTGATTTCTTTCAGTGGAAGCTCAATCTGAAATTCATATTAAGATTTTCATTATAAAAAAACACTTCAGCTCCCAAACGTCTACACAGGAATTTGCACTGCTCATTAGGCAGTATATATATCACTGGAGGAATGATTCCCAAACAATTTTCATCATAACTACAATTTTTTGAAGCAAATCCACTAAGTTTTAATAGCACGTATTATACAGGAATCTGAATTGCGCTTGGGGTCCATAGGTACCGCTCTACTGAGAACTGGATCATATCAGTTTTCGAGGCTAAAATCTCCCATGTAACAGACAGTAGCCTCACCTTTTCTGAGTGAAGGCACGCATCCAGTTGCAGGCTTTACAGAAAACGCTCAGTAAAATGTTAACACCAAACCTCACTCATTTGCATGCATGTATTTTGCAATTCACGTATCGAAATGGCTATTTCTATCAATGTTTCTACAATATGAGGGATCACTGAAAAGACTGAATAGTCAGTTAAACTCAAAAATATGTACTAGATTGCCTCTACTATCTCAGGTGGGAGGTTTTCATGGAAACATAATTTGAAGTAATCTTTAAAAAAAAAATTTCCTCTGTGAATTACTCTCAGTGCTTTCTTGGTTGCTATCTCAGAATCCAGCTATCGGTAATATCACAAATATATGGAGTACTTGCTCTGGGTATATACCCACACAAATTTAGAACACACCAAGAGTCTTTTACAGAACATAAAATCTAAAGCATTCCTCTGTTAAGGGTACAGACTAGCTCATGCATTTAGGCCTTGAGAATCAGAACAACTTCTTTTGCAGGGAAAAGCTACTCAGCCCACGTAGTTTAAAGCAGCTCAGTATCAAAATGGTTTATTAATTTATTAATGACATATAACCAGCAGCAGAGCAGGATCAATACCAGTAACACGAAATAGGAGACCATAGCTCATAAACACTGGGAAATCCCTCAGCACCCTCTCAGAACTCACCCCAGGCACTTGTCGCACAC